GCATGAGCTTTCACTTACATTTCCCTTTTACATGTGATGACTATGCTTGAACCTGACTAGGATTGTGTGTTTTCATATGTTGTACTTGTCCTATAATAAAGAAATGTCAAAAAAATGTAATACCTAATACAGTATTTATGCCTGCATGAGCTTTCACTTACATTTCCCTTACTTGTGTTAGTGAGTGCTACCCTGTTTTCGGTTGGCTTTCGCTTCTTTTATTCTTTCGTCCTCTACAACTTCTACTCTCTCGTTGCTAAATTATGCTCTGCTTATATGTGCTATCATCAGACAGTATTTGGGTTGATGTGTCCATTAAAAGATTTAACCACTTAGAATTTGAAGCCAATTCAGTCCTTTTATGGAAATGAAGTGTTCCATAATGTTTTAGTTTTGGCTGATTTTAGACACCTCGTCAGGGGTGTTTCCTGGCTGATGGTACCACATATATCAGATCTGTATAGTCTGGCCTTGGCCCTGCTTAATCCACTTGACCAAGCCCAGGCTACACCTTACCAAGGTCCAAAGTTCTAGCTAAGTTGGCCTTGGCGTTTGCTAACTATTTCAAAATATATATGGTTACATTGTTCTAGAACGTTCTATAAAGTATTACTAATTATGTCGGCCTAGTGCCGCATAACACTTGCTTGAACCTGACTAGGATTGTGTGTTTTCATATGTTGTACTTGTCCTAATAATAAAGAAATATAAAAAAATTAATACTGAATAAAGTATTAATGCCCGAGCTTTCACATACAGACCACATAATTACAAAGTACATACTTACATTCCCCTTWTACRTGAGATGACTTGTTTTTAACCTGCCTAAGATTGTGTTTTCATATGTTGTACTTGTCCTATGATGCATAAGAAATTTGGTTAAAAAAATTGAGTTATGCTTGACTCTACAGACCACATGCAAATAAAAAATACCTTGACATAGACTTGTAAAATATATGATGACTAGCATTCACTAGCAACCATTTTCTTTCYTCACTTCTGATTTCGTTTTGATATATGGTTACTTGTTGTGGACATACAACAAATGTAATAAAATTATCTTAATAAATCAATATGTGAACAAGTTAAAGCCAAATTGGACATGGAATATTTCATATTAATAATAAATTCATTGCCATACCCGAAACAGGGAAAATGACCATACATCCTCTTTTTGATGATTCTGATGATCACTTGCATACTTTCCATTAACACTTGTACTTTGCACTGTATGATACACTGGTTCCAGAMTATAAAATAAATTGAAGAGAGTGAAAAAGTGCATATTTTAATAACAAATGAATAAACAGACATAGATTGTAATATTACATAGACAGATTCAAATTATGCATATATCCTATACTTGGGAGAAGTAATTGTACCCTATACTCTTACTCCATTAATCTGCTGTCTAAAGTTAACTGACATCTCAATAATACAAAACTGTTGTGTGTCAATAACATCTGCATATGTGATTAGCCTAACAAAGCTTGCTCCTTCAAATAAAAACAGAAGATTATTAAATTAGATTCCAGCATACCTTATGATAGTGGATCTAAATATTATAATTATTGTATTATAAAGTAATAAGTAAAACATTTTTACAAGTAGTGATTTACATTGAATTTTCTTCTGTCTGTTGGTCAGGGTATGAAATTCATCAAATATCACTGCCCTTCCTCTTCCAAATAGAGACTTCTTTTAGAATATAACATTAAGGTTGCATTCTGGCAATATGTGTGACTAACTGTCTTTTTGTGTCACTTTCATTTTCATCTTACAATATGAATGTCCTGATTCATTGATTACATTACAATTMTTTCMATCATGATTATTTATGAATAATTTTTCATTGTAAATGCACATTTTGAACRTTTTCTATTTTCTGATATCATTTTCTATGCATAACCATACAAAGCTTCTAAATGAAATAATAATGTCAATGTCATTTCCTAATGCCYAATGCCTGTRMAATTCAAAAGTTTATGCTATATTATAAAGTTTTTGATCAATATAAACAATTAATGAGACATGTCAGTCAACACTTGCTTTGTGGAAACCGGCCATAAGGCCAATATTATGTAAATTACATCATTAAAGAGATGCAGACTCAAATGAGAAGCTAAATTTAAATTTTTAWWWCATTATATGCTCCAGGAGGTGTGCTACTTATAACAAGTGTTGACTGTATGAGATTCAGATTTATCCAAGTTTAGAGGACAAGTAGAAATCAAGTACATTTCATTTGCTATATACTCAGAAGATGTCAAAATGTGATGTGAACAAAAGCATGGTATCTATTACTGTGATGTCGCGCACTTTTCTTGTCAAATTTCCATGACATCTGTGTATATAATCAAAGGAAAATGGACCTGATTTCTTAAGTTGAAATTTCCTGAATTGTAGAAGGCCACTTAGGCCCTTTTTATATTTCTAACATGACCACAAAGGTCAACAAATGGTCACACAGACCAAAGTGACCACAMAGGTCAACCAATTTTCACATGAATGGCCGGCGGTCACTTAGACCTCAAACATGACCACACAGGTCATATGATCACAAAGATCATAACTGACCACATATGTCAGGTAGTTTCACCAACTTTTAACTAAATAACAACTTGGTGACAGTGCAGAAGTTTCCAACTGAACTATTGTGGTATTTCTGGAATGCATCTATATACCATTTCACCAAAGCACTTGCATTTTAACCTGCWGTGCATATGACTGCYCCAAATTGACCATGTGTATGACTATCTACCAGAACTAGCTCCCCTGTTCCAAATTTCAGTACAGCAACTGACATTTCTTGTGCAACCACAATAAAACTGACTTTTCTTGCCTCGCATTCACTTTGTGATAGCATCCCTACTACGGGAGACATGTCTTGATTAGAACAATTGCACACGTTTTCCTCATAAGACACTAAATGAAGTTCTTCAGCAAAATTATTGTATGCATCTTCAACATCTAGAAATACATTGCTCCCTTGGTGGGTGTCATAAAGCATGTTTCCAGATGTGATACACTTTACCATCATGGTATTCCATTCTGGAGGAAGACTCTCACTACACACAACTGGTAATTCATTTTCTTCAAAATATTTACAGACTGAAATGGCAATCAATGTGCATGCATAACTACCATTCCTACCTCCTAACGTGGACTGTGACACTTCAGCAGGAAATAAAAACTCTTTCACGCAGACTGAATCCCTAGTTCCACTAGTTTCACTTTGGTCTGGAACACTGGTTGGTTCAACATCAGTTGTCCCATACGATAATTTCCTCTTTGCTTCTTTACGCTTCACTGGCAACTTTTGCGGCTTGTTGAATGCATACCTGTCAACCTTGCCAGTATTACCCTTCTTGGTGGTTGTAGTCTGCCCCAGCAATATGCTATTCATGGATGGTCCATACTGAACATACGTGGGATTGTCATTCTGACCATTATTACCACGTTGCTGGCAAAAGACATTCTCAACAAGATCACTGTTAACACGACATGCAGAAACTTTACATCCAGGGTGTGCCTGAAATGAGAAACGACACAACTCTTTAAATCCCAGAATGCAAGAGGTCACATCGTTCATGGTCTTGTCTGAAAGAAAAAGCTTATTTCTCTCAGAAGCCTTCAAGCCTTTTCTCGCTTTAACTTCAGACTGCCATTGCTGTAGCCATTCCAAGCAATTGTCGTTTTCAACAAGACGATGGTCAGCCATGCTAGTGTAGCACTGCCGACTTGTRAAGTTTTTAATCAAGACACTCGTTACTTCAAGGAACTTAATCGCCTGATCAAGATCATTCACTGGTTTTCCTGCCTTGCGCTCCAAATCATCTTTGTATGYCTGAATTGTAAAAAAATATAAAAGTAAAGCTGTTGATGATCTTTTTTACTTTTCATACTTTTAGTGCATATTTCAGTATTGTGAGAAATGATATTTAGTATTGCAATGCCCAAATGATCAAAAACAATTTTGGCATGGAAAATAAAGGTTTCTTTTTTGATGCCAATTAAAAATTATTTGTTGCTTGAGCTTCTATACCATCCATAACAATAAACATTGTGAACAATTTAAATAACATATTATTATCAAGTACCCTAATATTCAGTATCTTACCTTCATCAATTCCAGCATGTCTTTGTTGAGGACCTGCTCATCAAGATGATTTCTCATCTTTGAGGAATACCCCAACTGGAAATGCTTCACAGTCAGCCGATAATGAACCGGYAATGAATTYGTCWGCTGATCCCAATTAAATGCATCCACCCATTGCTTCCATGTAATACGCTGAGAATTCACTGTTAGCTTTCTAGAACCCCCATGCTTACTCTTAGATAGGTTGTTGCGCAACTTCTTTATATTATGCTGTTGAAAGAATCATAGTGAAATGCTCTTTGAGACAATGGAGTATATAATCAATGTGCCAGTCAAACACAGTCACAACATAAAATCAACTGTAATTGGACTTCATAACAATAATCTGAACATTCAGTTCATGAGATGCAAAATACATATTACATTACTTTAACAAKTGTGTGAACTTACTGAAAAATCCAGAATKAAYATCAAAGGCTCCCTCGTATATCGGTTTCGAATGGTAAACTTCTTCTCTACTGGATCTTTCCCATCAAAGTGAATGTTGATGAAGCCACGGTTTGCTTCACCACCATCACAACAAYAGTAAAGAATCTTGAATCCTCTCAACAACAGCTTTGACACAGCCTTCCAAAAGAGAATATACAGTGTTGCACTGTCTACCTCTTTTGTTGGCCAGTGTGCAAAGGGAAAACGAAAACCTGTCATACCTAGAAATACAAACTGACAAACATGTGTTGCCAATTCTGCTTTTTCTTCTCCTAAAAAATTAGATTATTCAGATGT